TGATTGACTGTTTGATTGATTATTTGATTGAATGATTGGTTGATTGATTGATTGATTGATTGATTGGTTGATTGATTGATTGATTGATTGATTGGTCGTAGAAAAAAAAAAAAAAAACGAAAAAACAAGAGAGAAATCAATTCAAAAGAATGATGGATTGATTAATTGCTTGATATTTTTTTGTTTATTTATTTATTTTCTTCTCTTGGAATCCCCTACAAAACATTCTGAAATTCTCCAACACAGTCTTATTCCCTGCCGAGCTTTCCCCGGCCTCATGCTCCCATCCTGCTAAGTTACAGGGCAACACAACTCACCCCAGCTCCGGCCAGCTTCGCACCGACAGGAACCTTTGGTTTTCCCTTGGAATGTCCGGCCATTGATTGATTCATTGATTGAAACATAGAATTTGTGAAAACCTAACAAAACAAATTGTTAGGTTTGCACGAAATTTATTCAAGAATTTGATAGTACGTTTTCCAGGTCTCCTCCAGGAACAAAATTTTACGTAAAGTGAAACATCCGCAAAAAAAAGAACAGAAAATTAATTTTTCAGAACTACTGGAAGGGGCGAGGAAAAAAGCGGGTTCTTTTATAGAAAATCACGACCTAGTGAAGCACCGTAGGTTTAAGAACTGAAATATCTTGATTTTTTGTTATCCAAAAAAAAATTGTTTATAGTCCTATAAGATGTGTAGCATGATGAATTTATTCGGGGGTTTTCCAAACGCGCAAACATATTCTCCTGTTCGTGAATACGTTCGCTTGAACATGGTTTCCCATGCATGGGCGAATATATTATTTTTTATTGTTTATTTTATTTTTTTTCCCTATATTTTTATTTTAAACTTGTGTTTGGCTAAGAATTTCAAGGTGTCTCCGAGGCAAAAGTTGTTTGTATTCTTATTTTAAATAACATATATTTTTTGATAAGGGTTTTATTGTTAAGTTCAAAAGTGATTTATAGTCCTATAAATTATTTTGTGCAGAGCTTTGCTTTTACCTAACTGCGGAAACTGACTTATAGTCCTATAAATGAGTATTCACCAAAACACGTTTTTTTTTACGTCTTTCAAGTTTGCCTTGTCATCCTTAAAAATTACCCTGTTTGAACTCTGTTTTTTTGCCAATCTACTGAGAATGACTTATAGTCATATAAAAACATTTTGCCAGGAAGGGTTTTCTTGCACATTTTGAGGAACGCTAGACTTTTCACCTGATTTTTTACCTCCTTTATTGCAAAACGATTAAAAACGCTTTCTTTTTGTGTAAAAAATAACAGTTTGACTTTTACTTTTTCATTCTATAAGAAATGTTAGGTTTTCTCCGATTGTGAGGTTTTCACGAATCCCCTGTTTTGATTGATTGGCATGAAGTGGGGGGGTCTCCTCCCCCCCGCGAATACACACACACACACACTTACACACAATGTGACAACACACACACAAACAAGCGCAATTTTTTTTTATTTTATTTTTTTGATTGGTTGATTGATTGATTGATTGATT